ACCCAAGTGGCTTTGCCCTGTAGGAGCCCCTCTGATTTCCCTCACCACCCTTCTCTTCTGTCCTTGACCTAACACTACCTGGCTCTCTGTTTCAAGAGAATTCACTTATGGTGGTGAGAGAGGAACATGAATCCCAGGCTGCTCTGCCTGTGTCTGACATTAACTTGCCTGATTGCCTTTTCTGGGCAAACAAAACTGGGCTCTATGAACAGAATTTCCCTCTTATTCCTAGTGTTGTTCCAAGGACCCAGTATCCCAAGGAGGTACAGCCAAAGAGGAAGGTCAAAGCATACTGCACTATTTTTTTAAATTTTTTTTTCAATTAAAGTATATGTTACTGGTGATATTTTTCCCCAGTGTTCAGTCCCAGCAGTCTGGATTTTGACACCATTTTCTCTTTTTGTTCATTAGCCTAGGTAGCTAAAATAAAGGAGCAGTTTTATTTTTGTTCCATCTGTGTTCTTGGAGATTCTTGTGTATCATATAGTTTGGGTTGCAGTGGCATCATGGAAGACTTTTAAAAGATCCATTAGACTAAAAACAACATAGAAAAGTTTCTGTTGATCGTGTGCTAAGTTTGCTTTTGCTGAATTTTCAGTTAAGGCCAAATTTAAATTGAACTTCTCTTCTGAAATCAGGTTTTCCAATATGTCGTTTATCAGTGTATGAATGTTCAGAAACTTTACAAACGTAGGATTTGTCACAGTTTTTTTTTCCTTTGCTTTATAGCCAGAAGTTAAAAGAGAAGAAGCTGCAAGCTAAGAAAAATAAACTTGAACAAAAGAAGCAGGAAAAAGGTCAGTGAAATTTAGTTTTCTTTCCTCAAAACTCAGTTCTGTTCCCTAATTGAAGCCTAGAAGGGTTTTTTCCACCCCCCACCCCAAGCATTCTCAATACACGGATTGAAGCCTGAGCCTTAAGCTTGTTATTTTAGCTAATGTTTCAAAATCCTCTTTGAAAGCCATCTATGTTGAGATTTAATCTTACAAATAACTTGGCTGTTTGTGAATATTTTCCCTTTATTAGGGGAAACTTTGGACAGCAAACATTGGAATCCGATTTGGTTGTTTGTGGATGTTTTGCCCCAGCTATTCCGACAAACTGCAGATTTAGAACATCATCTGCTCAAAAAGGCAGTATTGTTCAAGGCTGTGCTTTTTTCTTATGTATATTTTGAATGCTTATGGAGAAAACAGGTGGAAAAAAATGCACAGCTTGGGCAGCAAGAAACTGAGTTATGATTGTGTAAGAAATTGAGCCACCTTGGTGCCATCTGTTCCACAGGACTTTTATTTGCATAGAAATAAACATGGAAAACCTGACTGCCTCTGTCCTCCTGCAGTGTTGAAATTAACGTTCAGCAACGTCAGTGTAACTGTTTGCTCAAACTTTTGCATATTGTTGCTTCTTTTCAGTGAGTTTATTTTAGCTTACTCCTTCAAATAGTTGTCCTTTGTGGATTAGTTCACTAACTGCAGTTATTCTTAAAGTTACAGCAGTTGCTGGTAATTCTGCTGGAACAGTGACTTGTCTGACAGTTCTACCTTAATTCTGCTTTGCTTTTCAGAATTGGATCTGTTTCAGCTGAACCATTGCCAGCCTCCCATGTAAACATGGGAGGACAAATTACTTGTTAGGTTAATTTTACTTGTGACAGCAAGTGAATGTAGCAGAGTAGGTTTTTTGGGTGTTTTGTTTTTGTTTTTTTTAAGCTAGTCATTTATGACTTGTAACTAGGAGGAGGATTTAGGTATGAGTCAAAATACTTTTGTTCATTTTGAGTGAACAAAACAGAATACCCATCCCTTTAGGGAGTGGCTGGGAGAGAGGAGAGCTGGATCAGGGACTGGCACTGCCGTGTACCAGTTGTGGGGCTGGAGTGGTTTTGTTTGGCACAAGTTCCTGAAAGAATCCAAACTCCCCTGTCTTTATTACATTTTTAACTCTTTACAGTTTGTGGTTCTCTATGTAAAATAATAATAATAATAGTAGCAGTAATAACAATGATAATAATACCAGTAGGGACAGAAGCCCCTGATAGCCATCTCTAGTCTACTGAGAACAGTCTTTTCTTTTTCTAGTTTTGTGTGCCCTGGTTGAGATCTGAATTTTCCCAAATTAATTGAAGTGTGTTTGTTGTATGTAGTAGGCAAGCATTTATCTTCCGTTTTGAATGAATGAATAAAACCTCTGAATTGCCATCTTTCACCTTTGTTGTAGTAAATACATTCACAATAAGGGTTAGCAGCGAATCAGGTCAGCTGTTAAAGTTACATTATTGTACAAACCCCTAAGACAAAATGAAAGTTCAGAACTTCACCACGCGGTGGCATCAGACCACTGAGCCTAAATCCTACGTGTAACTGGTCAGGACATGAGCTTGACTGGGCCTGAGGAACAGTAAAGAGCAGAAAAAGTCAGATTCAGGTCCCACTTGATGCTGTACCTCATTTTCATGATTGGTTATTTAATTTCTAGTAAGTGTTTTCTGGTCTTTTAGCAGGCCTCACGAGTTTTCTGTGGCCCTTGTTAAGCTTAGGCATATTTTAATGGGTTCCTGTACTTGCAGTATAGCAAACAGTCTGTAAAAGTTTATGGCACCCTGTGGAGTTTCTGTGACCTTGGATAGGTGTAGGAATATATTCAGTCTTGTCCGTGGCTTCCCAGTGCTCTGTAAGGGTACTCTGTGATCCTTGAAAGTTAATGCCAACCTGCAGAGGCTGGGAATGAGATAATCCATCATCCCCGGTGTTTGACTACCTCTGTTTGAAGAAATAATGTTCTATAGGAGGTGGACTTGGTAACATTGGAGGTAAGGGAATATTTCTCCAAGGGGGAATTTGATATTCTGAGCTCCCTGTTGCTCAGTAGAATGAATATAACCTGATACATGTTTCCTGACTATCTGGGACTACTTAGTTGTGAGATATTTAACAAGGAAGACACAGGGGAATATGTTATCCACCCGTGCTAATTAGCATGACATAATACGTGTCTCCTTAGCACCTGGGACTGTTTTGTTGTGAAATACTTGAGAAGGAAGACAGGTGGGAACACCTTATGGATTCACCCTGTTTGTGTTTGTAGAACCAGATCAATCCCAAGAGCGAGGCAGCAGCGAGGATGACGAAGAGGACAGCAAGGAGGAGGAAGAGAAGGAAGATGATGCTGAAGAGCCAAGTTTTGTGATGGGAAGAGGATGAGGCCTTTCAGGGACAGCTGGAAGCACTGTTCATTGCTTTATATCCAGGAGCATGAAAGCCTTTCATCTCAGCCAAGCAGAACCCATTGGCCGTACGTTACATCTGCTTAACGGGGCATGGCCTTCACGTCACAGGCCCGAGAGATAATGATAGAGAAATGCCAAATAAGAGATTTTTTTCTTAATTGCCTGTATAACTGCTGTGCAGTCTGCTCTAAGTTTGCTCTAAAGAGTCAGCCATAAGTCTCTGTGACCCTGGAGTTCTTTCTAACATGGCCCAGAGTGTTTTTCTGTCTGAAAGCTAAAACATATCCATTACCATTTAAGGGAAATATTACTGTGAAGGCTACGTATTCTACTTATGGCAGAGCTGGTAGCAGTGGGATACATGAATCTAAGGGAAGAGTTCAACTTGAAGTAGAAAAGTGGTCTGTAGCCAGACTCTCCTGCACTGTGAGTGTTCTGAATTTGGGGTTTTGTATGGGGTCACCTCTAACCCAAAGAAATCAGTTTATGTTGCTAGACAAGTTCTATAGATTTTTAATCGGGATCCCTTTTTTATTGCTAAAACTTTTCCCTATTGCTTTTCTTCCATGTTTTTTAAATTAATAAAAGGGATGTGTTGGATTGTTCTGTCTTCTATTTTATTTTTTAAGAGGATTTCAGTAGAATAAAGAGATGCTTGCAGGGTTGCAGGAAAGGACAAAAAGATCAAGTGATTTGGCACACATGAAAATATGGAAAAGGTGTTAGCTGCATGTCACTTACTTTTTGCTTTTGGATTGGAACAATGTATTTTCCCAAAGATTATGTCTGTAAAGCCTCCAAATCCTGTGGCAGAAAGGCTTGGAATGGAATCATTCTGCTTGTGTTACAGCTTCATGTAATGACACCTGCCTTTCTCTCTGCTTGAGCTCTCTGCTTTGCACTTTGGATTCCCCAGGAGGAATGATAACATCTATATATACGTTTACTTACCGGTGCTTAAATGAAAAGCATATGCAGTGGTGGTTTTACTTGTAACTTTGATTGTTGTCTTTTCAGTGTATCTTTAATTAGAAGTGCCTGCTGGCTTTCAGACATGCTCATCCCAGAGCCTTGCATCCGGAATGTGGTGCTACTTCTTCTCAAGCCTTGGTTAATGCCAAATTATTTTAAGCAAAAACAGTAAAAAGGGAGAATCTCTTTTTAGATTTATCCTTTGTTGAGCAGTGCTGCCAGAAATCCTGCATTTTGTCTGAGCTGGCTTTATGTAATGGCTTCTCAGTGGTGTTACCGTGGCGGCTGGGAAGCAGATGTGATCAAGTGCAAGTGATGTTTGTGTTTAGTTCCCCTGTACATACCCAAAGACTTTAGAGCTGGATAACTTCTGACCTGCAAGGTCCATATCCCAACTGTTCCCCCTCCCAGGTTAGAGATCTGCATGGAACTGTTTTCTGCTCAGTCTCCACAGAAGCAGGTTGTGGCAGTGTTTCATTCCTTAGCACTTCAGATGCAGGATGGATGTTCTGCACCTGGCATTTTCCCTGTGGAGAGATGAGTTATGAGCACTGCTTCGCGTGAAGCCCCCTTAGGGCAGGCGAACCCTGTGGATACTGTGCGATGAGCCATAAAAATAGGGTGTTTTTTATGGACAGAGAAGAACTGAGAGCCTCACAAATAAAGATGTTCTGCCTCTGAGCTTGTCAGGCCTTTGAGCTAAGTCCTGTTCTGCATTAAGTAGAGCAGATGTTGGTGATTGAACAAATTCAGGTTGTGTGGCCTCATCCTGCCTCCTTAAGATGCCATCCTTACCCGTGCTGAATTATTCATGCTCTCCATTTTGCAGGAATGCCGAGTTTGTAGGTGAAATCCGTAAACAGCAAGGAGAACATGTTGGTGAAGGTGGGATCTGCCTCACGGTCTGTCTCGCTGGGGTGGCTCAGTGTAGCAGTAGGAGCTGTATTTGGTAGGTGTTGCTGTGAATTCCAAAAAATACTCTGCCGTGTTGTGGTTGTTCCCGGCAGTACGAGCTCGTTGGGAATACAAAGCACTTCAAAGGGAGGTTCGGAGGGATGTTTCTTTGTTAAGACAAAATGCAGGTACTCTGTGACCTCAAAACTGGGAAAACGTCATCCATGGAGTATAAAAAAGGAAGTGCTCCCGTGTGTAGTAAAATGAGGAACAACTCTACAACTGCTTCCTATTGCAAATAGGGCCCTGACAAAGTACGAATAATTTAAAGGCTTAAGACTGCCCAGGAGTTTGACCTGCTTACGTTAAATTCTTTTTCTGGATGCTTTTCTAGAGGAGTCCCTCTCCTTTCCCTGATGGAGACTAATCTTCAGGGATTAAAGTTTGCTCTGTTCCATTTCTACACATGGGACCCCGAGAGACAGCAGTGTTAGTGCTAAAACCGAGCAGAGGTGTTCCTGATCTCAGAGGTGAAAAGCACACTCGGGATAAAAAAATGTATCTTTCTCTTTATTAGCTTTTTGGGAAGTGTTTTCCTGTCTCTTCCCTGCCCCCCGGGCAGAATGGAATTCAGGATGATGGGATTACCCTGTGATAAAGCTGACCCATTGTGCTGCCTTTCAGCATTTTCTTTATCTCATTTCCAGGGAAGGAACTCCCTCTCTTTCCCATAAGGCTGTCCCTGTCCTTTTGATGGGTTTATACAGGATTTCCTGCTGAGTCAATAGAGGAGGAGTGCAGGGAGATAGCAGCCGGGATTCCAGGGAGCCAGAGGAGGTTGCAGCCCGGCGGAGGCAGAGCAGCGCTGCCTTTTGACTTATGTAAGTGGCGACTTTTTGCTGTGTAATTAACAACTGTAATAAAAGCACATTTGCATCCCATTGCACCAATACCTTCTCTGTGCCAAGACTTAGAGATAACGCCAGCCCCAGACCCACCAACACCTTCACCAGTGGGGGTTTTTCAGCCCGACCGTGACTTCAGGGATCCGCAGAGCTGATTTTTTTTTTTTTTTGCCCTGCCAGATGCGCGTTGACGGGCTGCGACCCCCGGGATCCCACCCGGCTGCGGGTGCTGGGGGCTGCCCTTCCTCTGTGACCGCTGAGTACATCCCCAGTGTCGAGGACCCCCAAAACCCCCGGGGTGCGGGGGGTGAACGCGGCCCCGGCTCCGCGGGGGAAGGGGGGGGCGGGCGGGGGTCGCCTCCCCAGGCCCCGCCCCGCCGCCGAGGGGGCGTGACCTGGCCGCCCCGCGGCCCAATCAGAGCGCGGTCACGTGCGGGGGCGTGGCGGCGCACCCCCCGTTTCCTGCGGGTCACGTGGCCCGTGCCCGGCGTTGCCGTGGCAGCGGCGGAGGCGGCTCCGGCTCCAGCTCCGGCTCCCGATCCCGGCTCCGGCTCCAGCTCCGGCTCTCCCGCTCCCGCCCGCAATCCCGGGGCTCCCGTCCCGGCCCCTGGACAGCAGCGCGGTGAGCCACGGCCCGCCCCCGCGGCCCTGCATCCCGCCCCGCGGTGGGGGCTCCCCCCCCAGCGGGCCCCGCGCTCTGGGGTAGCGGGGGCATCCCCTCCGTGTTTGGGGTGCGGAGGTGGGAGCGTCTCCTGCCCACCGGGAGAAGGAGGTCTCATCTTGCCCGGGAGAGTTAGTCTGATCCTGCCTGGATGGGGATTCCCTTGCCCAGGATGGTGGGGGGGGTACGCGCCTCATCCTGCCCGCGCAGGGAGAATCCCTCGTACGCGCCTCATCCTGCCTCGCTGGGGGCTATCCCCTGCCCAGGGCGGTGGGGCTGAGAGGGAGGAGGGTCCCGTCCTGCCCGGCGGTGCTTTAGGGGTCCCTTGGGATGCAGAGGGCAGGCCGGCTCCCGGGGGATGTGTCCGGACAGGGATCCTCTCGCCGGGGGTGCTGCGGGGAGACACCTCCAGCCTGCGGTGTCGGGAAACCCCTGACCCAGGGTGCTGTTGGAAAAGGGGATCGAGCAACTGGGTCCCATCCTGCATGAGGAGATGTGGGGGAGCCTTGGGATGCCGGGTAGGGATCCAATGGAAGAAGGTCGCATCCTGCCTAGGGAGGATATGTCCAGGTTGCCGTTGGAGGGGAAGGTTCTGCCTGTGAGTGGGTCTTATCCTGGCCTGGGGGAATCCCCTGTCCGAGGGTGCTGTTGGAAGGGAGATCCTCCCTTATATCCTGCCCAGGGTGTGCTGAGGGTAGCTGGGAAGGAGGAGGAGAAATCCCCTGCTCGGGCAGTGCCCTGTGAGTAGGATCCCAGCTGTGGTGATGGGGTGAGGGATCACATCCTACTTGGGAGGTGATCCCCTGCTGCCTTAAGGGAGGTCACAGCTATGGGGTGTTCACACCCTGCCTGGGTGCTGTGACACCCCAGGGGTGCTTCTGGGGGGCCCCAAGCCAGAAGGGGACATAGAATAGGGTTCCCCATAGCAAAGAGGGCCTGAGCTCATGGAAGAGCAGTAGCAGGGCCTGGGGTTTGGCTTAACCACGGCCTGCGGGGGGTTGGATGATGTTCTACCAGGAAGAAAGGCACTGGTGCAAACCCACTGACCAGTCTGGGGGTGTGAGGCAGAAATCTGGGTCTGAGGAGGGGACCAGCATCCCAAAACCAGGCAGGGAAGCTGCCAGTGCTGCAAAGAGAGATCTACATATCTCGCCCTGGTGGCATCGTCCTCATTCCCTGCTGTGGAGAAATCCCTGCTCGTGTGCTTGCAGCGGGGCACGGAGATGTGAGGCATGGCAGAGGCTTTTCCTGGGCAGGGTAACAAGATCAGTGTGAGGGAGCAATTATAGAGAGCTTTCTGTCTTACCAGTGTGAGATGAAGTGGGGTCAGATGCGTTGGTGGTGCAATGGAAGTGAGTGAAAATGCGGCTGGGATGGACTTTGCCAGAGCTGGCAGAGGAAGAGGTCTCCTGGGAAAGTCCTCATTAGCCATCCAGAACTCAGCAGCCATGTGCAGTAAAACCCTGTAGGACAGTTATTTCTGTAAGAGCAAGTGTGCTGAACCTTTAACTTTGCAAGGCAGGAGCGTGAAATCTTCAGAATAACCCTCCCCGGATGCAGATAACTATCTGAGAAGTATTTCCAGAGTAAAACTGCTTCAGATAGAGTGCATGCAAAATGCTTCTTTTGTTGTGTTTCAGCCCCTGGAGCCCTCCACCCACTCCCTCCATGTCCACAGCTAGCAAGGTGAGTTTGCCATCCTGGTACTGCTTGTTTGGGCTACGTTTGTGTTTATGGATTTTATTCTGAAGTTGTTTACTTATTTGAGAACATCTCTTGAGCTGCTCCAGAGTGAAAATTCATCCTTGTGGTATTTTTAGCTTATTTTTCTAATGAAAGAAGCAGATGTGATTGGGTACTCTTGCCCTCTCTCTGTAACCTCTGAATTCATTTGTCTTTTCAATGGAATTTGTCCCAGGGGTCAAAGCTTCCTACATGAAAAGTTCCTACGTATTTTATGAAAATAAATGGCAGACTAGAGGCCATCACTGTATCAGCTGGGGACAAAGTCTGTAGATTCCCTCCACGCTATACATTGCAGAATCCACACAGGATGTTGTCACAGGAAACAGCTTCATAATTTTGCTGCTCACAGACTGTTTCTGCCTCCGATCCTCCCAGGAGGCTTTTTTCTTCTTCTGTAAAATAGGTGATTCTTGCCTTTTCTGAAAACACAGAGCAAGCAGGAAGGTTTGTCCCTCTTATTCTCTTTTGCTTATGTTGTTGTGTGAATATTATTTTATGCCTTTCTTTTTTTTTTTAATATATTTTGAAAACTCCTGAGCAAGTCAGGAGCCATCCTGGAGTTCTCCATGTAATGGTGGCCTTGTAAAAAACTGCCCAGGAATGATCTTGTGCTCTTGCTGCCGTCCTTATTATGTCTGAGGGGGCTGGTACCTGAAAGCCCCCCGTGTTCAGGAGGGACAGTCTTGCGACCTGCAATGCTTTGTTTGCTGCTGCAGTGTTATCTTTGTTATTGTTCCCTTTTAGTGACAGCATTCAGAGTTTTGGGCATTTGATGTCCTTTTGATCTTTGCCACTTCTTCAAATCTCACAGCAGCCATGGCTTTATTAGCTGTCCCCATATGTCCCCTGCATTTGGAGACCTGGGGGGGGGTTTGGGAGTGAGCAGCAAGGTGCCTGTGACCTTGAGGTGTGGTGCTGGGACTAATTAGTACCACACCAGGTGTGATTCTGGGCAGGCATCTCCTCCTGCTAGGACCTGGTGAGTATTTTATGGCCAGAACGTGCAGCTCTAGTGTCAATGGTGGAGTTGTGAGTGAGGGGATTAACTGGAAAATCGTAGTTTCCATTCTTTGGAAGGCTGAGTCAAACATCTAGTTTCAGATGTTTGCCAGAGTTGAGAGTTTTTTGCTCAAAACATTCCATGGATCCTGCCCTGTGTCTGTGGATGGCACAGAGATCACCAAAGCCATTTGGCAGCAGCCTGGTGATATGGTGGTATAAGGAGCATGGTTTGGACCCCACACTTGGCTCTGTGGCAATCACCACCTGAAATAGTCTGGCTGCTTTCAGACATCTCTCAGTGTAATCTCTTGAATCTGAAGATGATGAAATTTCCTGAAAGCAGCTCGGTTTCCCCTTGGAATTGTCTTTTCCTTTCCCCGTGCTCAGAGCCACTGGTAGAATTAAGGGAACAGGATTCTTGGTCAGATGTGGCTGATAAATGGAGTGTGAGCAATTCAGGAAATTGAACTTCCCACTGCAAAAGCTTGGGAAGTTCACTTGTAATCCTACACAGCAATCAGCTGTGTGCCTTTTGGGGGAGTTTGGGGAATAACTATTGTGCCATCTAAAATGAGCCATGAGGAGCAATGGTTTAACTGAGAAAAACTTTCCAAAGAACGAGCAAAAAGTGACTCCCTGAATTGGTGTTACTTTGGTTCTCTAAGGAGGTGCATTTGGAGCCAGTCCATGATGCACTGAGAAATGAACTGTCATCTCAATACAAAATGATAAGATGGGGGTCCTATTGCCAAAGTGTCATCTGTAAAACAATTCTTTTATTAGCAAGGAGGAATTAGAGGGCAAAGTCAAGGTGCCAGCTCTGAAATGAAAAGCCTGATGCTGTGCAGCCTTCCTGAATTCCTGCTGGAGTAGTTTCTGAGTTTACCTGTGTAATCTTTCCTAGTTCCTATGGTCATTTTTGGCAACTGGGGACTGTCCTTTCTCAGTTCTGTGCCTTGCAAATGTGATGGCATTTGGTCCATCATTTCCCACCGACCAAGGGGAACTTTGTTCCACCGTAGCTTTTCCAGTAGTTGATGCTCGTCCTGTCTGCCTGAACGTGACTGTTTTATTCCCTCAGCGTTTGTCTCACCATGAGTTCTGAGTTAAACGTCCCGGTGGATCCCTCCACCCCTGCTTGCTGCTCTGAGCCCGGCACGAAGGGCATGGATTACCGGGACTGGGTCCGGCGCAGCTACCTGGAATTGGTCACGTCAAACCACCACTCTGTTCAAGCCCTTTCCTGGAGAAAATTGTACCTGAGCCGAGCCAAACTGAAAGCTTCCAGCAGGACCTCTGCTCTGCTCTCTGGATTTGCCATGGTATGTGTGTTTTATAGCTTTCTGAATCGTGAAGGTTTTGGCTCTATTTGGCTCTATTAATCAGCCTTTTCCTCCTGGGAAGAATCAGGACATACTGTTGTTCCCTGAAGAGGCAGGAGGCATCTGCCTCGGCTGCTGCTGGAAAGTTTGAGCCTGGCTCTCTCAAGGTAGCACTGATACATGAGCTAAGACAACCCACACACTCCCAAGTCAGCTCTTTAAAAATACTAATCCCCTACCTGCAAGTGTTCCACCAGCAATGCTAAACAATCCAGGACCTGAGCTCTCCTTTGGCCCTGAGGCTGTTCATCCCTTGCAACCTTGTGAGGTTGCTCACGGGTGAGATTGCTCATGGGCGTGGAGTTCCTCCAGGCCCCTGTGGTTGCTGTGGTCCTGAACGTTATTTTAATTATTTCTCTGTGTGTTTTCTCAGGTCACGGTGTCTAAAATAAGGTGGAGGTTGGGTTGCAGTCTGCCAAAGTGAAGTTTGCGTAGCGTGATCAGGGAGATCGTGTTATACACTGAGGTGTGAGAAAAGGCCCTGAGCCTCAGACCTCGTGTCAGAGGGCTCTGTAGCCTGAAGGGAGCCAAACCCGGTATATTTTTGTCAGTGCTGCCCATTGGAAGTAATCCCTGGTGCTTGCTTTCTGCTATGCTGCACTCGGGTGTTATCTGGAAGCTATTTGCATAGGTCAAAACCATGTCAGGAGTAAGCAAATAAACAAGACAGAGACAGTCTGGGCCAGTGCTCAGGCCTGTTCGAGCTGTGGTGTTAACAAAGCACAGCTCTGCTGTGTCAGTGTGAGCCCCTTCACCTCCCCTCTGCTTCTTGCTTACTGGGAGTGAGAATTGAAACCAGTTTGGGGGAGGTTTTCTGCTCAGGAAATGGGCAGGTCTGGTTGTTCCTGAGGTCTGTCAGCAGAGGGGCAGAGGGCAGTGCCTGGTGCGTGGGACGCGATGTGAGGATGTTGCATCCTGCAGCTCAGAAGCTGTGGGGGGAAGACAGATCCTTCCAGATAGCCTTTCTTGTTCTATTTTAGCTTTTTCCGCTGCTTTTTCCTCCCCCAGTCCCCCAGACCATGAATCATCCATAACATTTGAGCAGTCTGGGATGACAGTTGGTCACCCAAAGTGAAGCTGGCAAGCTGCAGGTGGGGGGTTCAGTGGGAGCAGGCTAGAGGGGGAGAGGGTGCCTGGGAGGGTTTTGTGTCCTCTCCGCTCTCTATCTGTGTGCAAGAGATGCTCATAAAAGCTTTTCACAAAGTCTTTGTTGGTTTATGACCAAACTTGTGTGCTGCAAGGGCAGAAGGTCCCTTCTTTTGAGAAAGCTGGATGCTCTCCTGTAGACTCCTTTCACTCAGTTTCCTTACTCTGGAAAGCCTCTCATGTGCTTGCCCTGTGGGCCTCTGGAGTTCCATGTTAGTCATTTGTGACCATTCTCTATAACATGGTTATTACATTAACATTTTGTGTTGTTGTGGACTGGTCTACCAATGTGGTCACACGAGGTGTCCGTGCTGGGCTGTGCTGTCACCGGCATCACTGGGACTCGGGGGCTTGCAGCCCACCCACACTGCAGGGCATTGAAAACAAAGCATGCCTTCTCAGCTCACACCACAGAAAGTTGCTGGAAGTCCTTGGCAAACACACAAAGTTAACCACTGGTTTTGTATTCCCTCTAAACTGTTTAAAATGCAAGTCCAATAAACACACAGGTCTAAATACTGTTAATTATGACCACCAGCCTAACATATAAGAGGTACACCTGAAATCAGTAACTGTAAGACATGAAATCTCTTGCAATAAGGAATTCTCTTTATTAGCAAGCTTTTTCCCAGCTAATTGGACCTTCATGTGAAAGCTGAGGTATTTGTTCCTATTGGGTTGGTTCTCCTCTGGTAATTTGGCATGCAGGTATTTAGTACACGGATGTTTACTCTATTGAGAGCAACTATTTGGCTATTGATGAAAGAAGTTATTTTGAGATAAATGTGTGTAGACGTGGCACTCAGGGACATGGTTTAGTGGTGGACTTGGCAGTGCTGGGGGAAAGGTTGGACTCGATGATCTTAACCGTCTTTTCCAAGCTAAATGATTCTGTGATTCTGTGAAATAGTTTCCCTGAAGCCTTGAGTGCATTTAACTATGTAAACAAATGTCATTCAGGGCTTGGCTATTGCTTTATTTACTTCCCTGTCGGTGTGTTTGATTCGAGCTGGTTCTATATTGGCTGAAAATTATTGTGAGCTGATGGATATTTAATCAACAGGCGATGGCTCTGATCCAGCTCCTTCTGGACAGGCTGCAGAATAATGCAAACCTTTCTCGTTACCATCTCTGGTATTTCTGGCAGAGAGTTGGGCAGATCAGGAGGATGTGGGTCATTCCAGTGCCATGTCTGCTTGGAGATGGGTTGTAGGGCGACTGCATTTGCCCCAAGGAGGCTGCAGATAAAGGAAATTAAGAGGGAGCTTAGGAGACCTCCTTAATAATTTTCCTGATGGAAATAAGAGCTGTTACTGCTAATCCATCTTCTCAATACTTGTCCACTCGCTACAGGATATGTATTCAATTAAAAAAAGACAAAACAAAAACCCTAACAGATCTACTGGAGTGATTTTTACAGCCTGCCAAACCATCTGTGTGAATGTGTCATGGTTTATGTTAAGCCATTTGTCATCCTTTTGCCTGTTATTTTCTGTCCTGGTCTAAATTTCTCAAGATGAGTATCATTTTTGTTGTGGACAATCGGGGCTCTACTGGTCTAAAACCCACCATCGTTGCATGTAATTTAGTTGTGGTTTAATTCTAAAATGTTCTGAGCACTTGGTCCTGTGAGCCTGGAGTCCAACGGGGTGATTCTCAAGCTTAAAATTAAGCCTATGCTGAAATATTCCATGGCTTGGCACAGTGCTCAGCCTTGCAAAGTGGCTTCTGAGAAGAGGTTAAAATAAAGGGGGCTGTTGCATGGAAGAGTATAATTGTATCAAACATGACATATTAATAGTTTTACAGGCTAGGCAGCATATTTAATGATTTTTAAATGGGTTATGTCAGCTTGTCCTCTTTCTCTTATCCCGGTCAGGGAATGACATGACAGTCTGTGCAGGGTAAAGCAATCAGAGCTCACTCACCTTTTCAGCACTTGTTTGGGTTAAATGAACTGGTTTTCTGCCTTGCTGCACTATCTGGATTGTTGATGTTTTCCCCTGAAATACCTCTTACTGAGCCATCAGTCAGTGTTAAAAATTCATCACATTGCACAGCTGAAGCCAGCCCTAGGGAATAGGTTAGTCTGGGAGGAAACATCCAATTAGCTGAAAAGTGCTGCTCATGTGAAGGATAACAAGCAGAAATTGATATGTTGACATCAGCCAGGCTTTCAGCTTTAATATAAAGCTATAAATTGAACATGCAGGTACAATTCTCATTCAGCTGGCTGAATACCACGTCTCTGGCTATTACAGCACCCACTAATGAACAATATACCTGCAGCTTTTCCTGGCTGATGGGGTGTGACTGGCAACCACAGCGCCGTACAAATTCATTGTACATAGAGAATAAGTCTGATCTCCTCCCTCTCGAATCAATATAAGGGAAACTGCAAAGAGAACATGCACAAGGCCATGTGAAATGTGTTTTAATTAAATTGACCTTGCAATAGATAGAAGGCCAATCCTGTGTTAATATTTTCTTTGCTGTACAACAAGAACTACTGTAAACTGCAAACAGGAACCTATCAAACAAACAAACAAACAAAGTAAACTCTCCACATGTTCATAATCAGGACAAAAGGCTGGGAATATCCAAGAACCGCCACAATATTTTTCATGTCTCTAAAATCCTAAATAGTTTCTGAAGGTATAAATCTGGGCTTGTAGACCATTTGCCACATATTATACCTTGGTTGCTACTAAGGGTTGGACTTGATGATCTCAGAAGTTCCTTCCAACCCAGCTGATTCTATGATTCTAAATGTGTTCAGACTTGACTGTGATCCCCTCATTCAGGCTGCTGATGGTTTCAGAGTAAATGCAGGTAAGGCAGCAGTAATGCCAACTGGCTTCCATCCCCTTTAATCCTTTTCAGGGCTTCCAACAGGGAGAACATGGACAGACCCCTAATCTTCCAGTGCCTAAATAATATTATTATCAAGTAATGCCAGAGTGAGCGGTGCAGGTGATTATACAGAGCCTGAAATGGCTGCTCGGGGGGTGTCTCATGTGAAGTCTGGATAAAGTAATCGTGAGTCAGTTCTGCAAAATGCTTCAGTGTCCAAGAATTGAGCTGCTTGTTCAGACTTTGCCTTGTCATGATGGTCTTGAGAGGCACTGGCCTGAGTCAGGAACCCAAGCATGGCTTCTTTCCATGTAGCTGTGCCATGCCGGAGCAGCAGGTCCCCTGGGATCACCAGACGTTTTGCCTGCTGCCAGGAGAGTTAATATCTCTGCAAATCATGAAGTGCAGCTGCAGATCCAAGCCAGCTGCTAGAGAGGACTGTTTGATAGTCTTGTCCACTGCTTTTGTGGCTTCTCTTAGTGAAAAAGGTTTGTGCAGTCCTTTCAGGGATGCTATCACAGAGAAGTACTGGTTTACTTCACAGGTAGGTTAAGTAATTGTACAAATTCTTACACTAAACCAGTTAACAGGCCTGTGCTAGGACTCTAGTTCTGATCTCAGAAGAGCCTCCTGCTCTGTTGCACATATTCTGCTTCTTAAGCTTTATTTGATTAAATTAAAAATAGCCTTAGAGACCTGCTCTTGTTTTGGGAAGGAGACTCCTCTCTGAGTTGCTGAGCACACCCATAAGCCAGTAGCTGTCCACTCCTGCTGAGTGTATCAGTAAGTTATTAGCCGTCAAGGGAGAAATTTGAGGATATAAATAACTTGTATCTGGGCATATTTGTAATAAAACCAAACGTAAACTGTTCTGAGAATAGAAGGCAGCTATTTTAACTACGGGCTGACTTAACCTATAAAGTAGCTCGTGTGCTTCCCATGGAGGGGGGACAGTGAAACCTGGCTGGCCACTGGCCAGAGGAGCTGCTTGGTTTTGCTTTTCTTTACACGCCCGGAGTCGAAACTTCCTGTGCTGCCGCCACGAGTGAGGGGCGGAAGGAGAAGGTGTGAGGGGCAGGGGGACTCGCAGGCTGTCAGCTGCCTCCCCACCCCACGTGCCGTCTAATGAGTTCCTTCTGTTGTGTATTGGGGTTGATGCAGCTCGTATGGCTCGTGGCTGCAAGGAGAGACGTGTTATGTTAGAAACCGACGGCGCAGAAACGTGTTCCTGAGCCTCACAAAGGCCAAGGCACAGACTGTGTGAGGAACAGCAGTGATCCGTCCCGGCTGCCATTCCAGAAAGTGCTTGAATGTGTACTTGACCTTAGGTGTTCTTCCTGAATAAAGATGCTTTCCCGGATGGAAGCCTTGAAAAGAGGGAAAGCCAGCAGCTGTTGACGAGCTCTCTGTTCCTTGGTTCCAGGTTGCCATGGTGGAGGTGCAGCTGGAGGTGCAGTACAAGTACCCCCAGATGCTGCTGATCGCCTTCAGTGCCTGCACGACGGTGCTTGTGGCGGTTCATCTCTTCGCCCTCCTCATCAGCACCTGCATTCTGCCCAACGTGGAGGCAGTGAGCAACATCCACAACCTGAACTCCATCAGCGAGTCCCCCCACGAGCGCATGCACCCCTACATCGAGCTGGCCTGGGGCTTCTCCACCGTCCTGGGAATCCTCCTGTTCCTCGCGGAGGTCGTGCTGCTGTGCTGGATAAAATTCCTGCCTGTGGGCTCCATCCTGAAGAACGAGACCACCAACGTGGAGAAGCCCAGCAGCCACGCGGGGTGGCAATCAGCACTGGTCTCCACCATCATCATGGTCCCCGTGGGTCTGATTTTTGTCGTCTTCACCATTCACTTCTACCGCTCCTTGGTGCGGCACAAAACGGAGCGACACAACCGGGAGATCGAGGAGCTCCACAAACTGAAAGTGCAGTTAGACGGGCATGACAGAGGCATGCAGGTGGTGTGACAGAGCCTGCACACTGCCTCAGCTGGGGCTGAGGGCAAAACACCCCGTTTGCTACTTGGTGGGACGCACCAGGTGATGGATTGTCTTGAGGCTTCAATATGTAAATGCTAATTGCCTGCCATTTCTAGCTGTGGGTTCTAGTGCTGTTTCACATGCTGGGGTCTCTGGCCTGATTCTGGTCCTACACACTTGGTACTTGAGTTGACACTGCCGTGGAGTTGAAGGTCAAAACTTTACCTTAACATTGGTTCAGGTAGCCAAAAATCTGTATTTTTTACAAATGCAATATTCTGTTGCCAAAAGTAAAACTGCATCAGCTTCCAAACAGCCAGTGTGTGTGTGTGTGTGTGTAGGACCTGTCTTACATGTCAGAACTCCCTGGCTGTCAGTGCAGCCACGATTAACTGGCTGCTCATTTCTAGGGCAGAGCTGGTTAATGTGGGTACCTGCAGCTGACTCAAGGACATCCGGGAAAGCACAACAGAAACTGAAAGTGTTGATCACCATTGTTCCAAAGCAAGTATTCCATAAATACATAACCAGAAAGAAATCAGCCTTAGCTTTTTTTGTTCTTTTCTTGCTATTCTTTACTATATTTTTACAGCTGGGGATGTAGAATTTTCAATTGCAGGAGGCTGGGAAGTTCTCTCGTACTTTCTTCAGCAGCGTCTGTCACTTTAGATCGAATGAGTGCCAAGATCATGTGTTTTTTCCCAAGAAGAGGCAAGAGTGCCCAGGGAAGGCTTACAGGTGTTTTAGTTTTAACAAGGACATTCTTAAAACAGAACAGTGCTGGGGAATTTAATGAGACAAAACTTTGAAGGACTAGCAAAGCGAGTTTCAAGGAGGTAAGGAGTGACAGCAGATATCGTTCGAATCTGTTGCTGTGTCTTCTTCATTCACGTGTTGCTGCGATGCCTTTTGCCTGTTTTGCTGGAGAGAACAAGCCCAGTCCTGTGTATTCCATCATTTGGCTTTTTTCAATTGGCTGTAGCATTTTTCTGTCAGAAGTGAATGCTCCCTTCTCCCTCCACCAAAGCAGGCAGCTCCTCTGGTGGAACCCTGAGCTGTGCTGGCGAGCCTCATGGAGCTGGATCCGGCGGGAATGCTGTGTGCCATTAAAGAGCTATCCATTTCCCTTGAGCTCATTTCTTTTTTCAGCAGCTGAGACAATGACACTTGCATGTCTGTGTTGCTTAGCAAGGGAAGCTTGTTAATTCTGTAGCATCCTTGTGGGTGAAAAACTTCTGTAAAAAAAAACAATGTTATGATTTTTGGTAACTTTGTGGAGGGAAAAGAGTGTTTTGCAATCATGAGCTCTTTGAAGGGAAAGTAAGGCTTTCTGCCACACAGGGCTGCAAGAAGCATAAGCACATTTTCTTGGCCCTGATCCTGTGCTGATTTCCTCCTCTGCACTCAAAAACTGCAGTTTCAGAGTCTCCGAGGCCTTATAGGTTTCTGAAATCATTAAGGATGTTTGTAATGTTCTATTTAACCCTGGTCCCTTATTCCACTGGGGTTTGAGAAACCTAATGGCAGTGTATTATTACATGTCAGCTTCCCAGAACGGAGAGTACATGCAAACCCCAGGGCAGCAGGGTGAGACTATCCCAATATTCCTCTCTGGTGGGGGCCTTGGGAAACCAGCTCTCATCTCTCTTGTTTACATGCGAATGTGAGCGTTGCTGAACAAGTTGCTTAGCACTGTGTCTGTGGCTTTCATCTGCTGTTCTTGCTGCAGTTGGCATGCACCATATTGGCTGATGTGCAGCAAAGAAAAATAGGCTTTGTGTGCTAAATGACTAATCTGTACTCATGTGCATATGCAAAAAAATGAGGAGTGTCCTCCAGGAAGTGGGTGGTCCTGAAATTCATACAAACTCCCCAGGAATCCACCCTCTCTCCCTTCCTCTTTTTACCATAATAAAAATTAAAGGTTTATACAACAAAATCAGAGTTGAGTTTTCTGCCAAGTGTTACACGTGTGGGCTCTTCCCCCAGGAGAATTTCTGTTGTGAGGCCCAAGCCAGACCAGATGGGACGAGTCTCTCATCTGTACTTTGCACTCTCCTTTAACATCAGTAATAATACCCTTGTGTACTGAGGAGCTTGGGAAGTTGTCGAGGAAAGCATTGAGCCATTTTTGCAATTTAAAAGGAAAAGTTTCCCCGTGTGCACATAGTGCTGTGAAAGCAACGCAGCTCGTTTGGAAACAGCCAATTTGTTAATTTAATTTTTTGCAAGTATAATGAACTTCAGCAAATGGAGAAATGCAGCAGAAACTGTGCTTTGATTTTTGTAGAATAACTCGTTGAGGCTTTGGTGGGATTGGATTCAAGAGCAGTCTCAAGGCAGAGCATCTGTGACTGGAGTGGGATCGCCTTACTCCAGGGGGAGTCTGAGGTATGGTTTGGGATGGTGTCCCGGGGGCAAATGTACTTAAAACAGAATAATAACATGCTTTCCCATCTTTGCTTGCATCTCTGTGTCTTGTGTCTCTCTGGGCACCGAGTTCTCCCTTCCATGAGAAGCCCTTGAGAGTATTTTTGCTCAGTGACTGTGCCATCTGGGATCTCTCTGAGATCACCTTCATGCTGTAACTCCTTTCCCAACAACAGCATCTGCTTCTCTTGCTCCTGCCTCTCTTCCTTCAACTTGTTTACATTTTCACCTCTGTTGGGTCCAGACTTGTGTTGCAGACAGGTTACCTGTGGTACCAGCCATAGCAGTTCATCCATAAAGGAAGGAGTAGGGATGTTGTAGTTGTCCAGGTGGGTGTTTCTGTGCTACAGCACTAGAAAATCCTTGCTCCTGCTGCTGCCCATGGCTGCCAGCAGGATTCCCATCAGTCAAGCATGAAGATTCCAGCCTTTCCACACTGTCACTGCTGTCCCAGCAGGGCTGTGTCATGTCTGGATTTGTCTGTCCTGTGCTGTCACCTCTCTGTCATTCCTGGGGTGTCCGTTTGTCATTCCTGGAGTGTCCCAGGTTTTGTGTGGCTCCGTTCCTGCAATTCCTGCCCAGAGATGCTTCTCCCAAGGGTTCCACCCTCAGCTGGGGACATGTGTTGAGGATGTTCCTGATGTGTGTGTTGGCTTTCTGTACCAGCCTTGGGCCCTGGGCTGCTGCACCCTGGGGTGGCTGTTGCCCTGATTCTCTGCCCCTTTGGGCTGTGACTCACTGGACCAGTTATTACCTTATTTGGGCCATTTCTCCAATTTTTGCTCTGCGGCTTAGCAGAGGGACAGCCATGATCTCACTCCAGACTCCTGAGTCTTCCTCTAGATTTTTTTTGGACAGCTTTTGCCCAGCAGAAAAACGCCTCTGCAGACTGCAGCACTGCAGGGACCTTGCCTACCCACCCTACAGCAGGGAAGGAGCTGTCAAAGACAAGGGTACAGCCCAATTTGTATCATTCCCAGGCACCTGCCCTGGTAATTTAGGAGGTAACTCCTCTCCCTCCTTCCTTTGTTAGCAGGAGTAAAGGCAGTGCATGACTGGGAGGCGGAGGGAGCTGTGGGAGCCGGAGCAGTGTCGGGTTCTCCCGTCGCTGTGTTTAGTGGCAGCTCTCACTGTGAGCTCCCTATTTTTAACATCACCCCAGGGCAGGCCTGGCTCCCGTTGTTTCAGTGGGTATGTGACTCTCAGAGGGACTTTCTGACCAGGAGAGATGGAGCAGTGTTGGGTTTCCACGTGACGGATGAAAGCGATCCTGTGCGAGAGCCCCGGGTGGGGCGAGCGCTGCCGTAAGCGCTCAGATATGTGGGAGTGTTTATAGAGAGCTCCGGCGTGGGTTCAGTTGCAGAGAGAACATCCTTCCTCTTCCCTGGCTCTGGGATGTGGGGATGGGCAAGCCCAGCTTGCCTCGAGGACACCTGAGCTGGGCTCCAGGGTGGAGGTGCTCCTCTCGCCTTTCATAATGTGCTTTCTCTTCTGTCCCTGCCTTCAAACAAACAACAAAAGGCTTTTTGGATTTTCCCCACTGCTGCAGCTTCTTAATCTTCTAAATCTCATTGCATCTACTTTTAAGATAGCTGCCTCAGCACCCCCTCCAGGCTGCAATCTCAAATTCAGCTCCTGGCACGGCTGGGCCAGGGGGGTTATTTTCTGATTAACTCTCAGGCTCTTTTCTCTGCGCCCGACTCAAAGCAGTTTCAGTAATTTGACTGTCTGGATTTGGAGAGTATTCCCTTGAATCCCTGTGTGTCCAGCTGAGAGCTTGCCTTCTGCCCAGAGTTGTGACAGCGATGAGTGCTAAGAGGAAAAAAAAAATCTGTATTTTAGCTTTGCCTATTCTTGTTTTATCTCTGCATGAACAGTATTTAATGTAGAGCAACGAATGGATCTCAGTTATTGTCCAGCTGTGTGAGAGAAACTGGATAAACTTGCTCAGTTTTGCGCTTCTTACTGATTTCAGACTGATTTTTTGAAAGGCAGCTCAAGTCCTCCAGCATCCTCTATGGGTTAACTTGGGTTCTGCCTTGTTTTTTTAAAAAAATCTTGCTCAGATATTATCCTTCTCCTTTTAACATACACAAGTAGATAACAATTAGATGTGCTTCCTTTTAATGAAGGTCTGGGTCTTGGCATGTGCTTTACAAGGAGGTTAAGGAGATGGTTAAGGAGATGAACAGCTGTGACAGGAACTTCTATAACAGGAAGACCATTAAAATTTGTCTTATGTTAATAATACCAGCTTAGTGGACAAAATTACTTTTAAGAGCTCATTAATTAAGACTAAAACCTCTTTAAGAGGCTGTTTAAAATGTCAAAAGACTGACCCAGCAGTGACTGTGTAGTGACTAGATTAAGTTTTGGACTTCAAAACCATCGAGAGAAATCCCTCAGTTTTTGGCTCAGTCTTTAATTATTTGCATTTTTTCACATTTAACCAGGAAGAGCTGGAATTTTCTGGCAAGAGCAGCAGCTTCCTGCGTAGTTTGATTGAGGCAGAAAAACTCAGCTAACAAAATGAACTAACACTGTGTATGTGTTATTGTGGCAATCTGATTCATCAGGAGCCATCATCTGCTTCCAGTGCAGAGAGAATGGAACAGCAGGTATACACAAGGAAAGTGTTTTAGCAGGCTGAGAGTGCAATATAAATCTAAAAGGGAGTGTTGGAAGTTAGGGCCAAACATTAATGGCAATACTTGATTGCTGCAGTTGGAGTGGATCGATGGAGAGGCTCGGAACTGGAAGAGTGATGAGGATATGAGTGCAGAGACTGCTCTGTGAGAACCTGCCCTGGGTTTCCTCTGTGTCTGTGCTGGGCTCCCCCAGGCTGACAGCCTCCTCCTCCTGCGCGGACAAAGCTCCTCTGCTCCAAAGGCAGCTCCAGGTGCTGTCCTGGGAACATCATGCTCCCAAAGCCCTGTGGATTCCAGCCACACAGTGCTGATTACACCAGGCTGTAGAAAAGGTGAGGAACTGCTGTTTTGAGAGCACCCCCTGCTTTTGGGAGTGAGCTGGAGAATCACAGAATGAGCTGGGTTGGAAGGATCCTTACTGATCATCCGGTTCCACCCCCTGCTATGGGCAGGGAACCTTCCCCTATCCCAGGTTGCTCCATGCCCCCTCCAACCTGGCCTTGGACACTTCCAGGAAAGGGGCAGCCACAGCTTCTCTGTGCCAGTGCCTCACCACCCTCACAGGGAAGAATTTCTTCCTAATACCTAATGTAGGTCTACTCTCTTCCAGTTGCAGCCTATGAGGAATTTCCTGGGATAGAGCTCTCTGTGCCTGTTCATATTTGCAGTGACAGGTTTCCATCAGAGAGGCCGTGCTGTGACTGCTGGAATCACTCCTGGAGCACCTTGGTGACACTCCCCAGCCCACCTGGATGGAGGTTTGGGGTTTGGGACTGCCCATGGCAGCCCTGCTTGTGGGTCCCTGCAGGAATTAACACGTAGCCAATGTCCACAGCTGTTTAAATACGGGGCTAAACTGAACCTGGTACACTGCACAAAGGGCTGTAGCTGTGTCTGTTGGCTTAAACTGATAAGAAATATCCTGTTTGACCCAACTGATTTCTAGTAAGGGTTTGGGGTAAACAGCTCCCTCCCCTGCAGTCCCTAAAAGCAGAGGGCAGTGCCTGTGGCATTAGTGCATTACTGTACAGTAAATCCTGTGCATTGTGCCAGGGAAGTACTTCTAGGGCAGAACACAGCAGTGCAGGGATGCTGAGATCCTGTTTGTAAATATGTCTGTCCCCTTTCCTTACCAACCAAAGCCAGGCAGCACTGCAACGTGTGTTTTACTGCTGTAGGTGTGACTGTGCTGAATGGTTTTCATGGCACAACTGTGTTTATTAAAGGATCACACTTCTTCCATGGCACAACTTCATTTTCAAGAGCACAGAAGTTTGTTCAGAGCAGACAGATGGCCTCAAATCAGCTTCTGCTGCAAATGACTACTTGAATCTTAGGTACGAGGCATGATTCAAACCTGACTGCTGGAGGTGCCAGGAAAATAAATGATAGCTGCCAGTGTGGCAGTCTGTTGCCCAGCTTATTCCCAAAATCAGACTCTTGCTACTGAGAGCTGACAGCGGGGTTCAGAGATGACAAATGATCAGAAAATAACACAGCCTGTGCAGGCCTTTGGTCTGATCCCTGTCCAAGCTTGAAGAGTGGCATCAGCCCTCTGCAAATGCTGCTCTTAGGTCCCAGAAGATACAGGTCACGCACAGAATTTATGATTAATCCTCATTGTTAAGAGCCTGAATCTTCAGCAAGGATAATTACTTTAATTAGTTCTCAGTGTGTTGTAGTAGCTGTGGAGAGAGACTTGCTTACCTTCCTCCCCTGGGAGCTGGTCTCTGAAGGTTCTGAGGAGGGTGAGGAGATAGTTGTGCCCCCAGGGCGAGGTGGAACACTCAAAACCATCTGACAGTATCAAGTGTGGGCCAGGAAAGGTTAAAATATGTGGCAGGGCTTGGGCTAAAACTATGTCAAGGGCTGTTTGATTTTCAGCTCCATTTAATGATTCTAACTTACTTTCTTCGAAACAATTTAAGTGTTTAGTAACTGGCTGTTTGCTTTTTTGTTAAGACGCAGCTAATGGATACAACAGCTCATTTCTGACTTTGGCCTAAAAGCTCCCATTGCCCAGCAGAGCCTTTGAAGCCCACCCCTCCCTTATTTCTGTTTGTCAAATTTCCACTTTATTGAGCTTCTCTCTGCACACACCTGGTTCCTCACACACACAAATAAACCGGGTCGTACAAATTCCCTACCTCGTTTTACAAATTTCCTAACAAAATGCAACTCGGCCTTCCCCTTGATCACACCGGCCTCCCTTGGAATGAAAGAGCTATTTCCAGCAGTTCTTTGCCCAGTTCCTCGTGCCTTCCCCCGGCGCTGAACTCTGCAGAGAGCTCCCTGAACGTGACGCAGACCCGGCGGTTCTCGATGTGCTTGCGGTGGATCCCGTGCTTCCACTTGTACCGCGCGTCCCCCTGCAGCACCACCAGCGCCCTCCGGGGCAAGTGAACAGCAACAGTCACCTCCTTACTGGGAACCAGCCTCGGGGGCACAACGCCCTCGATTCCCTCCTCGCCCGAATTTCTGCACGCTGATGTTTGTGTGAGAGACCCGGGGGGGCTTATTTCCCCTTTGCTGAAAGTGGGGGATAATTGGATAGTGTCCTCTGAGTCACAGGACATGGAGAGCACGGTTTTGGAGAGCAAGTTTAAGCTGACGAGACGCTCCCCCCACAGCCACCAGTCATCAAAGTGGGGGTCTATGGCAGAACCCCTCTCCGGTGTGTAGTCCAGGTTACACTGTTCAACAGGTAAGAAACCACTGAGCACAGAGCAGGCCTTCATTTGTGCCACAATCTTCCTGCTGAAACTTGGCAAACCGGTAAAGCCGTCAGCTTTCAGCCTTTGCTTCTTGAAGTTCACTTTGGGTCCATAGTCCTGTTGGAAAAGAAGAGGGAGGGGGAAAAAGCTGGTGTAAAGGGAAAAATCTAGGACAAGCCTTTTTGGAGAGGCTGTGGTCCCTACAGGATTCTGTTCTCATCTCTTCCTGGTCACCAGGTTCCAAAAGGACTCGGTGAATGTACATTAATCTCTCTGGAGTTAGATTTGTAAAGTAAAACCAAACCCACACACCCACTTCTTTCCCTTGGAGATTGTGTGAACTTTAATGCCTGGACATGCACCGTCAAATACTTTGTTTGTTTTGACTATCATGTGTTTTTCCAAGAAGTTGATTTTAACAACAGGTAATTCTCGTCATTGATTTCAGGAAAAGCTTTCAAAGGAAGACATTTAATGAAACATCTAAATATCTGGGGGTTTGACTGAAAACATCTTTCCTTTTCCAGAGGCATCCAAGATCAAATGTGCTTCTAAAGCCCAACCTGCTTCTTTCGGCCAGACTGTGATGGTTTCCAGTCATCTCGATCCATCAGTTCCACTATCTCACGCTCTTCATCTTCACTAATGAACTCCTCCATCAGGAACACCCCTGGAAAGGGGAATGCCCAGCCAGCAAATTCCGAGTGCTCATTTCCTTTAGCTAGGCCTGTTGCTGGACAGTAAGTGAAATTATCTTCTCCCTGTGGAAATAACAACGGAAAAGAAAAAAAGCAATAAAGACATTTCCATTTTTTACCACTGCAACCTTGATATTGCAGCATGAAAACCGTATGGGATTCTTGCAGACATGAGAAATGTTACAGCTGCTTTTGGGGAACAACTATTCCCTGTTTTGTTTTGTTTTGTTTTTTTTTCACAAGGTGCTTGCTTGAAGCCACTTTTCTTTACTAGTGATGTCTTTATCCTACAAAGACAGGGGAAGAACCGATGATCCTCGGGGCCACAGGTGCAAGATTAATGGTGGGCATCGCTCAGGCCGGCTGCAGAGATATGGTTTGTCATAAGCAATAAATGTTGAATGAGGAAAGTTGATAAAAATCGCCCGGGCCGCAAGGCTAAGCTGTAGGAAATGAGTGTGATGTGTGGAGCTCAGGTGAGCTCCCCTCTGCTCCTGAGCGCATCCGGGGCGTTATGAGGGTGAAGAATCCACAGTACCCCTGATGGGAATGGGGGGCTGTGCCTTGTCCCCACCTGCCCCGCAGCCCCCGGGGACGCGGCCCCTCCCCGGGCACGGGGGTCGCGGTCCCGCCCCCCCCCCCGCCCCGAGGGGCCCAGGCCCGCGCCCCCCACCGCCCCCCGGCTCCTCCCGCCGCCCCGCCCCGCCGCCCGCCCCCTCCCCGGTACCTGCGGGGGCGGAGCGGCCGGCGCGGGCCCCTCACAGAGCAGGCAGGAGCGGATCCCCTTGCAGCCGCAGCCCGGCCCTCCGCCCGCCGCCCGCATCCCACTGCCCGCGCCGAGCACACAGCCCCGCTCCCCGCTGCTGCTCCTCCTCCTCCCGCCCTTCCTTCCTTCCTTCCTCCCTCCCTCCCCCGGCTCCTCTTCCTCCCACCCGGCCGCTTCCAGGTGAGGGCAGCGGGGGTTGGGCGAAGGCCGCGCGGCCGGGATGGATGTGGTGGGTGGTGGGGAGGGGGGGGCGCGGGGCGGACTCGCGCTCCCAGCAGCCCCCGCGGCCCCGAGCAGCGGCGCGGGGCCCGGGAGCGCCGCGGGGGACTCTGGGAGTTGTAGTCGCGGCGTGCGGTGCACGCCCCGCGGGGGCGCCTCAGGCCGCGGCCGGCGCCGGCCCCAGGGCGGCCCTCAGTGACCGCAGGCCGCGGTACGGGCGTGGGCCCGGGGCTGGAGTCGCACCGGCCCGGCCCGGCCCTGCCCGCGGGCGGAGCCGCGGCCTGCGCCCGCAGCCGGTGCCCTGCGGCCGGGAGGCCGCCCCAGGGTGGGCGCACAGCCCGGCGTCCGCGGCCCCACCGTCCCCGGGGCATCGCGCGCATCGTGTCCCGGGGGCCGCGCCGGGCCCGCCCGGGGTCGCGGGGCCGGGCAGGGCGGGCACAGCCAAGCACACGGAGCTCAGGGGGATGCCCCGCCGTGCGGCTCCGGCCCCAGCGCTGCTGGGGGGCAGGAAGAGGGGCAGTTCCCCGTCAGGCCCCGGGGTGGCCGAGCATCCCCTCCGCAGCATCCCCCGTGGTGCTGCGGGGATGGGGACATGCCATGCCCGGCCTTCCCTGCGGCTCAGCGGTGTCACAGCTGTGTCTGAGGTGGTGGTGTGGTCACAGAGAGGGCGATGGGGACATCCACAGCCACTGGTGTCACATTTTCCTTAGCGCTTAGGGAGTTTTGGTAGATTCAGCAGGTTCGTCCTCACCCTGTGGTTTGGCTCTCGGCGACAGCTCTGTCGCTTGAAGGATCAAATCCCAAACATCTGCTGTTCAAAACTGTTTTTCCGTTCAGCCTTTTTGTGCTGGTATAAAATATTCCATACCTGAAGGACTGTCCTTACATACAGGTGTTAACAAAGCAGTGCCTTGTTGCCCATCACACAACATTCCAGCTGCTGTAGGTGTGTAGTGGTGCTGAAATGAAGCCCAAGGACAGCTCAGTGCCCACTGTGTTCCCCAGGATGTGCTGGAATGGCATTTAGGCAGCACTGATCTAACACAGAAAGACAGGAGCGAGCATGGCCTTGGAGCTTTGTTAGCTTTTATTTCCCTCCCTTGGAATCCGTGTCAGGAAGAGTGGTAAGCCCTGAACCAGTAATTTCATGAAGCTCATTTGGACTTGTCAGTGTTGTTATTCTAAATATCAGCCTATCCCTGTGTGTCCATGTCCTATCCCATCCACAGCAATGCATGGAAACATCTGTTAATTACCAACAACACACAGAATGCTTTTGATATTTTTCTTCCTTGCTGAGGAAATGATGTTATTAATTGGTGGGTATTTACATTTCTGCTAATTACTTCAGTTTTCCAAAATTTTAGGGGATTTCGGAGTTGTCAGCCAAACAGTCTGTCCAGCTGGTCAGGCCAGCGAGTGCACTGTCATTTTCTTGGGTGGAAGGGGTTCACAGCAGGTGTATTTATTCTTTCTGTTGCTGTTTGTTTGAAAGCCTGTTGGAATTCCTGGAGCAGAGCCCAGGAGAGGCACAAACAGGTGACTGTGAGGCTGTCAAGGTCCTGAGGGTCATCCCCTGCAGCAAGTCTGTCACTCTAACAGCCACAGGAGGTATCCCTGTTGTTTTGGAGATGGATTGGGTCAGCATGGTGGGAGCCTGTGCCCAGCCTAATAAGTAAAAAAAGCGACTTCCAACAAAGCAGCAAAATCGGTACATAACCTAGTAATGGTGTTTTTTCCCCTTTTGGAGTCAGTTGAAAGCATTTCCTCTTATTCCTGTTTATTTTTCCAGGAAGGTTACAAGAAGAGATCCTACAGCTGACTGATTAGTGATTCCAGGAGAGGGGTGGAGGTTAAAAATGTCAAAAATCACAACAGAACTTCTTTTGGAAAGAGCAGTTCCAAGATCTACGAGGCTCCGGAAGATCGAGACGCTGAAGTAAGTGCAGGCAGGCCCATGGAAAATTCCAGCTGAATTCAGCTTGGGCAATCCTTTTTTTTTTTTCCCTAAGCATTTTTACAAAAAAAAAGAGAGGCAGTTCCAAAGCACAGAAGTGAGATGGCATTCCCAGTGCAGGATCAGAGAGCACTGATGGCACTGTATCCACTAGAGAGGTTATTGACAGTTGTCACCTTTTTTTTTTTCCTTTTTTATTGTATGTTTGGTGCCACCTTCTTTCTGTGAAACTGGATCCTGATTTCCTAACCCCCAGATATCATCCCTGCCCCCAGAGCACTTCCATCTTTGTTAGCAATTGCCTAATGTGAACAAGAGAATCTTCTGGCCTGGATTATAGAGGGGTTTTAAAGTATTTTTGGCATTATTTCCCTTCCATTTTCCTCTCCCTCCATCACTTTCTGTCTCCTCTAAATCCAATTATGTTAGTACCTCAAACATTGCAGAGAGGGAGAATAAACTCTGAAACACTTAGAAACCACTAAAAACAGTTTTGTTGCTCAGATCCTTAACAGAGGTCATTGCAAATATGTGTCTTTCCAAATGTTTAATGTAGTGGAATTTCAGTGTTCCAGAGCTGGTCAATCTGAGTGACTCAGCTGGCCAGTTTCTGGCTGATGCCTTTGTTGTTTTTGTTCCTGATGTAGAGGGTTTGAGTTTCACATGTACTCTTTAAAGTTATTTCTTTTGGTTTGTCTTGTGCTAAAATAATTATTTTTAGAGAGAAACTCAAAGGTTTATCTGAGGAGCATCAGCTGCAGTAATCTGGGTAACAGAGTGATGGGAAGGTGCTTGAAGCAGTGGATTTCTGGAATGTGGCTTTTCCCATGCTTCATACCATGGTGCTGATTATATGTCAGAAAGTTTGGGGAACAGTGTTGGGTTTCTCCCCAAAATGATACCACAGTCAGACTCAGCTTTGCAGCCAGCTGAATTCTCAGCCTTTCTGACTGGCTGGTAAGGCCTCTGAGATGGGGCCTTGCTTCCTGGGTTTATTTGCCTCATTTATTCACACTTCATTTATATCAAGAAGCCTTTTTTTAACTGATCATTAGAGACAGGATTTCTGTTTGTTAAAGGAACTCAGGCTTGTGCCCTCAGGAGATGTTGGCTGCCAGGACTAGAAGCTCCCTTTGGAGCTCACCTAAATGATCTAACCAAATAGAAATGACCCTGCTTATAATATCCAGTTTTCAGTTTCTTACAGAAAAGGGGTATTTCTTTTTCCCTCACAAATATTATACCTCTTCCTCTTTCAGCACAATACTTCTGTTTTGATGGCAGGCTTGGGGTCTTGTTAGGTAGATTCCCTTATTTACCTTTGGAAGTTTTTGCAGCAAAATTCACTCTAGAAGAAATGGAAAAATCACTTTTTTGGTCAAGTTGGTTCTTTGAAAACAGACAGATTATTTGGGGGCCTGCTCTGCACTTGCCTGAAGTGTGAAATAATAAATCCAGTGCATTCTATGGACAGGATAGACTGATGTTGTAGTGAATAAGTGTCATGTATTGCTGCAGCTTGTTTTGTTGAATCACCACTGCAAAGGAATAAAATACCAAAACTCTTAGAGGTTCTTTCTACAAAATAAGAATGTTTTTGGTGATTCACTGCTCCCAGCCAGCTCTGTTACCCATAGGGGATTGTCTGAATTGCAGGTTAATTGTGCTGCAGGTACTTTGGCAGACCTGAGCCTCTGATGGTGTCTGTTAGCTCAGACACATCATCTTTGCCACATGTGTGTGCTCAGAGTCCAGAATGCAGCAGACAGGAAAAAGCAGGGACCTTGTATCCTGTGAAATCAGCCCTTGGTTTTCCAGTGAGCTGCAGATAGTTCATGTTATCTTTTGTTTTCAGCCTGTCCAAGCTGCAGTTGAAGACTGGAGATTTAGACCCGCGGTTGTTTTCCCGGCTGAGGCACCTGCAGAAACTAGATCTCTCTGATAATTTACTGGACAAATTTCCCAACAGCCTAACCCTGCCTGATCTGCGTGTCCTGAACTGCAACAACAACCAGCTGGAAGATGTAACTGCTCTGAAACAGTTCCCTCTGCTCGAGGAGCTGACCTACGAGAACAATGTGTACTTGACAGTGAGTTACCCCCCATCCTTACAAGCTCAGCATTAAACAGAGGGGC